GGATCTAGATTGATTTTTTTGTGTTTGTTGCTTTCAGAGAATGGATTGGCAAGGACAGAAATTGGCGGAGCAGTTAATGCAGATCTTGCTTTTGATCGCAGCCATTGTAGCGTTCGTTGTTGGGTACGTAACGGCGTCGTTTAGGACGATGATGCTAATTTACGCCGGAGGTGTTGTTCTCACGACTCTGGTCACTGTACCGAATTGGCCTTTCTTTAATCGTAATCCTCTTCAGTGGTTGGATCCAAGTGAAGCTGAGAAGCATCCTAAACCACAAGTTGTTGTTGTTGTTAGCTCGAAGAAGAAATCCTCTAATAAAAAGTAGCGTCTTTTGTTTAATCTCTCTTCCTTGAGAGTCTTGTCTACAAAAGACATGTTATGGATTTTGCTTACAAAGGCTTAATAAGACTAATTGAAATCATTTTTGATTGAGTTTTGCTTCTGATTCTGTGTGTGATTCATTGGAAGAATGTGGATAGGTTAATGCATTTCTTTGAGGTAAATAAATAACTAGCTTGAGGATCATAAAAAGGTGTTAACTTTGAGACATTCTTGAGTGTTTCAAGAACAGAGTATACTGTAAATGTTAAATCACGCAATTTTTGCGAAACGAATTGCTTCTGATTCTGTGTAATTCATTGGAAGAATCTGGAGACATCAATGCATTTTTTCGAGGTATATAACTTTTGAGATTGTAGCTGGTTTTGAGACATTCTTGAGTGTTTCAAGAACAGAGCTTAGTTCCATTTCAGACATGCGATTCAAGCTCAGTCTACATCAATGTCTAAATCGATCACTAGAACAAGACCAATCTGAATGCCTTGTTGGTACAAATTATATGGTAACAAAGGCTTGCAGAGTGAAAAACGAGGCTTTAATGTTACAGGAACAAAGGGTTTCCAATATTCTACAATCTCTGCCATTGAAAACAATACAGAAGCTTAGAGGAGAGTGACGAGAATGAAAATGAGTAATGCAGCGATAAAAGAATACTTAAGAGCAGCGACAAGTATAGCAAAAGAGATAAAGAAAAGCTGTGACAAGACTTGGAGACTAGCCCAAGTCAATACTGCAGCTAATCCAACAGCAACAAAGTTATCTGGATCCGGATTCAACAAATCTCCCCATTTGAAACTGAAACCACCAAACCAGTCTTTCTTCGGACCATCGCCATCATCGTTACTAACCGGTCTGTTTCCACCACTAGAAGACGACTCCTTGGCCGATTCGTTGCCGTTGTTTTGTGCATAGGTCTTTTTGAGCTTTAATGGAGGTTTGCAGAAATGGACATGATGATGCCGAATGTTGTGTAAAAAACGAGGCTTTATTGTTACAGGAACAAAGGGTTTCAAAGTTAGCATCTTTGGATTATGGATCTGTCGGAATTTGTTTCATCTGCAATTGCAAAATCGAAATTCTCAAAAAGGATATGAATTTACCCAGAAGATCTCTAAATCTATCTAATCAAAAGATAAACCCTAATTCTCGCCTTGAATTCAATATTCAAATATCTGCAAAAAAACTCACCTTGAATTCTCCATGTTTCCTCCTCTCCACTAAGCAAAAAGCTCGTCGAAGAAAAACACAAGCGAACTCAATCGATTCCTAT